TGGGTGGGGGAGCACCTGGGGGAAGGAAGTTGCCCGCCTGGTCGCACGGCCGTCCTGCGATTATTTTGCCGTTAAAGTCGAGAAGGATCTGCCGTAGATGTACATACCATTCAATACTTTGTGATATTCGGTCTTGCGCTGCGGTCGCAATGGTGGGGGGGGCAGTTGCCAATCGTCACCACCCCCTGCATCCCCCCCGCCCGCCACAGGAGATGCACGATCGCCTGGTGGGGACCCGGGAGCATCGGGAGATGGGGCGCGCCCATGAGCTTCTTCGTGAAATCGAGTATGAGTGTTGCGATGTTGAGTGAGACCAGACTGGTTCTTGAAAAAACGATGACAGCCAAGGAATGTGCAAGGTATGTTGCGGGGTCGGAAGGTTTTCGTGTGCTGCATATCTGTGGCGGGGAAATCGTGGATCGGGCGGGACTTGTCAGAATTTTCTGCCGTGAGTTTTGCGTAAGTTACGGCCGGAAATTCAGAAAATCATGACAACTTCATGACTCAAGCCTTACTCATGCGCGCTCGGAACACCGTGGGTCGGCCTTGAAACACCAAGTTGGTGTGTCACCCTCCTTGATTTTTTTATTGGCGACGACTCTCGCTTTCTCCTCTTGACCACCACAGCTATGGAGATGCCCGCCCCAAAACGCAAGAGAAATGAGCCTGACGCCCCTGGCCTCACCACTCGGACGAAAAATCGACTGGCCGAGCCCGGAAAAGTAGATGCAAAGGCATCCCGACGCACCGCCGTCGAGATGGAGAAGGCCCGAGCAGACGCAGAGGCTCAACAGCAAGCGGAAACGAGCAAGAGGATCGACGCCATTGCCCGTGTCGCCGAGATGGAGGACGCTCAGCGTGCTGAGGACAAGATTTACGACGAAACCGCCAACCACCCAGTAGATCCTCCCAGCCCTGTTCCAGCGCGCAGGCCCTCGACGCCGGAAGACAACAAAATGGGTGAGAGTTCCTTCATTTTCATTCGTCCACGCAGCAGACATTGACTCTTGAATACACTTTGCAGCCGTCGATACCGAAAATTTTGACGACGACGAGAGTGATGGATTCGTCCCCAACGACGGCGAGGAGGAGGAGGAGGAGGAAGAAGAAGAGCCTGAAGAAGAGGAGGGGGAGGGGGAGGAGGAGGAGGAGGAGGAGAGAGTGGTAAAACGCCGGGGGCCAGTGAAGTCCAGGCGAACTGACGTTGCCTCCGCCCGCGGAACTCAAGACTCGGCCGGCACGCCGATCGTTCCTCAGAAGCGCAAAGTTGAGTGAGTTTGCATTGAAGTTCACTCGCATCCCAGTAACGATTCACACTCCAGTGCTCCTAAGCCAAAAGCTGGCCGCAAGAAACTCAAAGTCGTCAAGAAAGGCGGACTAGCAAAACAAAGTAGAGCTTCTTCTGCGTCGGGTCATTCGAGTCTGGTAGGAGGTGAGGAAGACGAGTCTATGGTCCATTCCGGCGGCCCAGCATTGGACGACGACGAGCACGAGGGCGTTGAGCGTCCAGTGCCGGCAGGAAAGAAGAGGGGTCTGCCAAAAGCAGTAAGTCCGCACTTCCCCTTTGAGACGTTTGCGTACCCACACTTCTCTTCTTCCCTGTCCATCGTCAAAATCGCCCCCGTCCCATCCAAACCCCTCACCAAGAAAGAGCAACGCGGGAATGCCAAGAAATGGAACCTGAGCCACCTCCCGCCGGGCACTAGCGACAGATTCACCAACGTCGTGGTCCCCCTCGCGCGCGAGCTGTGCGGTACCCTCCAGCCTTGGGCTCCGCTGACGTTGCTGCAGATGCAGGGCGTCGTTAACAGGGCATTCAAGCAGGATATACTACTGCCCAACGGAAAACGCAGCCCGGTTATCTACGTTGTGGAGCCCTCGAACGCGTGGTATGGCTTGGTGCGTATCTCTTTCTCTCCGCCCGTCTGCACCGCTGATAAATGTTAGATAAATTATCGTCTCAACGACTGGCGTGCAGGGTTTGCTGCACAATCCGCCAAGGCCACGACCGACCTCATCAGGCACAGGATCGACGAAGAAGAGATCGAGATCGAGGACGCGCGCGAGAAAGCAGAAGCGATTGCAGCGGGCGCGTCCGAATCCGATTTCCCGCCAGCGGCAGGTAAGATCCCCCTCCCCCTGCAAGTGGTATTCACTAACGATGCTTAGTGCGCGGGTTCTCATTCCGTAGTGTCGCCGGCATATCTGCCTTCGTCCACTGGGCCCGTCAAATCCACGCGAAGAGCCAAACCATGGCGTTCCATTGGTCTACATGGGGAGATGGGGTGGAGAAACAGGTGTGTGCATGTCCTACTCTTATCTGTAGTCCGCGCTGTTTCTGACCGCTGCACCAGGGATTTTTCCTCTCGCATCTTATAGTGTGTACGTACGCTTCCCATCTGAATTTCCTGGACAGCATACCCGACGAATATGCTCGGAGCTCGGATCCGCCGTACGGCGCGGCGCTCATGGCAGCGCAAGCGGTACGTTATTTATTCATTCCTCGTATGCGGTTCTAACCTTTATCAGGTCGACCGTAACCTTTTATATTGGCAGACGGGCGTGTACACAGTCCCGAAGGGGCAGGCCGGCCAGTTCTCCTTCGATAATTGGGGTGATCTCAAGGTACGCACCCCGACCGGGGGCAACAAGCTTACGCGTCGCGCCACCAAGTTTCTGGGGTCGCTCAAGGCGTGGGATCAGAAACATTGGGATGAGTTTCGCGAAGCGGCCGAGGAGTGGCAGGATAAGAAGGTTCGGCGGGCAACGTCGTCAAGCCAGGCCTCGTCGGAGGCGGGGGACTTGACGGAGGAGGAAGAGGAGGAGCTCATTGTCCTCTCTGATTAGCTTATTTGTCGCTTCCGTCCCGTAAAATGCAATTTATCGCCGCCATGCTCATTATTAGTGCCTTTTTGGGATTCTGAGAGCCAATTAAGTCGCGCTTTGAGTGTGCTTTAGGACTGCTTTGAGCATCTTTACCAAAGTTCGGCCATCTTGACCAAAGTTATCTAACATCCTGTTGAAGACATTGTAGGTCTTACACATCTTTACAAAGACGCGACGTCTTGCAGGGAAAAATGAACCTTCTTGGACAAAGACCTATGTCTTTCGCTAAAATGCGTCTTTCACGTCTTTGGCATCTTTCCAAAGACGCCAAAGACGCCAAAGCCAATCGTGTAGTTTTACTGATGGATTTCTCTGCTCCCACATGAACCACTGGGTGCAGATCCACATGTTGGCCATATGTAAGACTTCAAATAGCACCTCGACCAAACCTCGACGACGTTGAAGCAGTTGACTGAGATCTGAAGAAATTACACGACTACTAAACTGAGACTCCAACAATTTACACTGGAGAATAGAAGCTACTTCAAATTCATTCATTTTTTAAGCAATTGGCCTCGACACCAGGAGACTAACAAAAAAGACTAAGACCCTCCAAGATGTGGTTTCAAGACACAAGACATGTTTTCAAACACATAAGACCCTCAAAGACGCGACTCAAAGACAAAGATTGCTCAAGACGTGCTTCAAAGACAAAAGACCCCAAAGACAAATGTGCTGTTTTACTGATGGACACTTCTCTATAGAGCACCATAGCAAGCCTCGCTCTACATCAAACGCGCCCGCCGCATAGAACTCTTCCATCCACATCGCCCTACAGGAAGCTCTTGTTTCACGGAAACTCGCCAACTCCGGTATTTCCCATGAATTTTCTGGCAATATATAAGAACCGCCAAGACCGTAAACCGTTCTCCGCCCTTTCTTCCCTCCCATCACCTCAAGAGTCTTCAAGTTGTCTCTGATCCGCACGGTCTTCAAGCTAATACCAACCCTCAATTCAGTTCAAGTCTCAAGTCTCAAGTTCCCCATCCTTCAAAACAAGTCAGCGGCGCGCAAACACTTCAAGTTCTTCAAGTTTACTGGTATCAACATTTAAATTCAAGACTGTCTCTCTCTGTCTGTGGAACATCCTCGGAGCGTCGTGTGTATACAAGCCTTCGTCGGGAACCGCTTCATTTATAGATAGACTACTACGAACTTGAAGTTCTCTGTACCTGTTGACCCTCTCATCAAAATGCTATATTTCATTGTATTTTTCGACGCGGATTTCAATCCATTTCAATCACATATAAGAATAAGAGGACAATTGTCACCGCGTACCAACTGTATGCGTGGTGTGATCATAGCCGATGTTATCCCCGAAACGTTCTCTACATAGATCTATGTTGCTCTACGCCGCTCGGAGTCTACGGCTCTATGGATCTACAGATCTACGGCCTCTATGGGCATCTATGATAGAGGGTACATAGCTACCATGGCTACTCACCTGTCATGCCCACTTATAGAAGGTAAGTACCATGAGTATAGGGTACATAAAGACATGCCGGCTGCCATGAATTTGGCGGAGGTACCTCACAATGAAGACCCCACGGGTTTAAGAGGGGACTAAGGGGTATTTTCTTACCCTTTTGGCGAGCTTTAGAGGTAGTGGGTCAGCTCTCGGTAGGGGACACGGCCCCGCGGTTGGTAACGGGGTACGTGAGGGATGTTGGGTGGGTGAAGGGTGCGCGTTCGGTAGAGGGTACGGCCCCGCGAATGGTAATGGGGTACTCGGGGTATGTTGGTGGGTGGTGGGGTGGGTGTTCGGTGGAGGGTACAGCCCCGCGAGTGGTAATGGGGTACTTGAGGTATGTTGGTGGGTGTTCGGTAGAGGGTACGGCCCCGCGGGTGGTAATGGGGGACAGAATATGAGGAGGAGAAAGGAAAATAAAATAAGATGAAACATACCATTATCAGTCGTCCTCACGTTATCCAATAAGACCTCCGTCAATTGACGGAATGATCGTGTGTGTTAGTGTCACCGATACACTACTCTAAGGAAGAAAAAACAAAAAGATAGGGAATAAAGAAGGAAAAGGAAAAGGAAAAAAACAAGGGAGGAAAACATACCTTAGGAACCGGTACTAAAATTGTCGAATAATAATCGAGAGTCCTTATGGACGCTACAGGACTTGAACCGGCGACCTCGCGGGAAGCAGATGGCCTGATCTATCTGCGTGTGCAACCATTACACTAAGTGTACGATACCACACCTCGCACCTCAAGCAACCCATACAACAGAACTGAATATCATGAAGAACATAATCAAGGTGCAAAAATTTTACTGATCCCTGTTTTACATATGATATATTCATACCTACGTCTCCCCGTCCTCCGACACCATGAACACAGTATGGAGGTCCTCAGCCAATTGCTCTCCCTCTGCCCGCTCGCCCACATCGTCATCGATCTCGTGTTCCTCGTCCTCAAGGCGCACGGCGTCCATCCGCCCCACCAATTCCTGCTCAGCGGCCGACTGCGCATCGACAACTCCCTCCATCGGATTGACCGGCGGCGGCGTCGCCTTTTTAGCTCGGACCCCGGGCTGCAGTGTACCTGTAAAAGATGCCCCCGCCTTCCTCGCGAACTCCGTGAGACGTTTAATGTGGATCTCGTTGTACCGCTCTCGCTCCATCCTGTACTTTCGAATGCACCACGAGAGCCCCGGATTCGTATCGAACACCCTCTCCTCCGCCGCGATCAGCTCCAGCTTCTCGTCTCGGAGATAGGTAACGAATCGACGTATTTCCACATTAAGTCGAATCACTTCCTCTCGAGCGCGTTCGATTCGGAAGTACTGGTCGAGGAGGAGACGAGCGCCTGGTGTAGCCCACTCTCGAACCTCCCCCACTTTCTCGGGGTCTCGGAGGAGGTCGAAGTCAGCCAAGAACGCGTACTCCACGACTTCTGACCAGGAGAGAATACGGCCCGCGGGAACGAGCGCTGACGCCGCCGAGTTGTATGTTTTCAGGGCGTTCTTAATCGCTTGAGATCTTGCCTGCAGCGCCTTCGCAATATGGCGTCTAAGTTTATAACCTACATGATAAGGTATTAGCATACGGCGATGAAGGAATCAAGGGGGCCGAACCCGTTTGTGACAGGTTCATCTTGGTTAATTCGAACATCCGTTGAATTACCAACCGCTCGAGTTTGAGCAGGGCCATCCTATATCTCTTCGTGCTGACGAGATGTGCGGCCTCTGCCCACTCCGGGCCTGTTGGCTCCCAACGGTCGACAACCCCCATCGCGGTCTCGGACTGCTGAACCTCGAGAAGTGCCTTGTCGTAGTTTTCTTGAGCATGCCGCCGAGCCGTGAGAGTCGCTGACGATCCCGTTTCAGTGGTCAAATCGCGTTTGAGCCTTGAGGGGGGTACGGTGGGGCGACGGGGAGGGTACGCGCCATCAGGGTACAAGGATAAGGGGGTACGGGATGAGGGTGAAGTCGGAGAGGTGTTATTAGTTAGTAAAGAAAGAAGCAGAAGAACAGGGAAGGACGCACCGGCGGTCAGCAAGATTGACGAGCCTCTGGTAGTACTCCATCTGGAGGGAGTCTTCCTCAGCCTCGGCCATTAGCGACTTGAGGAACTTGAACTCCTCCTCGAGGCGCGCGGGGAAAACATCCACGTTTTGGATATTTGCCGCTGCCATCGCCAAGTGCAGCGCGGGCTCGGTCTTGAGCACTCCGAGCGCTTGCCAGTAGTTGTCGACGAGGAATTTGCCTGAGGTCGTATTTAGTCATTTCATGGAGAGAAAAGCCGCCCACTTACTAAGATTCGCATATGTCTCGTGGGTGTCGTTATGCTCAAAATATGCGGCGAGGGCTTGAAGGCGGTGGAATACGCTTGCATAGCGGACTGAACCGGCGTTGGCGTTCGACTTGGAGAATAGCCGTTCGCATCCCTCGAGATCCTCGAGTCCCAGGCCGAAGATATAAGTCGCGAGGTAGAGGAGTTGGCATAGCCGGTTGTGGGCGTGCCCGTGGAAAGCGCCGACCAAGCAACAGAAGTTTTGAAGTAGCGCCCGTGGGCCTAGCAAGCTTTTCCACAAGGTTGAGGAAAACCCGCACGAGATATCGTAACCCATGCCGATATTCCTCCCAAACGAGTCCATCAGCTCCTCGACCATCGCTAGGGGATATTTCGACCTAAGTGCGGTCAAGCCGAGCACTAAAGAGAATACAAGATTGGACGCACAATTCCCCGCTACGTACCATGTCAGCCACCATCAAGACGAAACCGTGTCGACAAAGGCAGACGAAGACCCCGGTCTCGTCATAAATTGCCCACATCTTCTTCGTAGCGTCGTCCGACAAATTCTTCCATCTTTCTTTGCAAGGGGATTTGTCGTCCGTCGTGTCCTCCTACGCCAGGTTCATTTTTGAGGGCAGGAGAGTGGAAAGGAACGCACCCGTATTCTCGTTTTCTGATCAGCCCAACGATCCACCTGTTCCCGAGGCAAGAAATAGTCACCTCCCGCCGTTGCAGCGCGGGGATCAAAGCGCTCCTTGGAGACGCTAGGTAGGGGGTTTCCCGCGTCGTCGTAGTCGGGGGCCTCCCGACGGAAGACACGTTTGAGCGAATTGTTTCCGTCCATCGTCACGAGGATGGAGAATGTTAGTTCAGGCTCTTCCTCTACCTTCAGCGTGCATGCCGGGCAGCCGTTTTCCATCCGCCATTTGCGACCATCTCGACCCAGTTCACGCCGGACTAATGTTTTGACCATCCTGAGGATCGAGGAGTAGAAGTCGAAGGAAACTGAGAACTGTTGCGCCAAGTAGGGTTTGAAGGGACCACCGTGAAGGTCGGCCAAAGTTTTGAGCCACGAGTGGATGGAAAGCTGAGGGGTTCGAAGGTGGGCGACACGGTACAACTCCAGGACACGAATGGAGAATGCGACCTTCGGCCTGAACGAAGCGCAGGGCACAAATCCTTGTGCAACGATGGAGGACGAGTCGTGCTCGTCAGACTTCCGTTTCCACATCTCCTTCGTATATGTGCCTTTAAATTGCTCAGTAACGCGTCGGGTAGCTCGTCCGCCCGCAGTTTCCTCACCATAAACGTCCACGACAGTCATATGCACGCTCCTCTCCATGTCATCGTCTGGGATTGGTGGCGCCTCGCGATCGAGACAGTCGTCGGTTGAGCGCGCCCACTGAATGTAGGCCTGTGTAGCCTCCTGGAGCTGGTTGGCGAACGCATAGGCCTGCCTTGCAATCCTGTCCCGACGGCGCCGCAAATCCTTCCGGCGAGACCTGCTATTTTTCAGGAAATTTGTCCGCCTGAAACAAGGTAAAGCACTGAAAAACGCACGTTCTCAAACGATCCGCTCGGAGCCCCTGCTCCAGCATATCACGGAATTCTCCTCCAGCCCCACTCTGCATAAGGTCGCCTCCTGCATCGTCCAAAATGTTGTCGAGGTTCGGCCCGAGGTCCTCGTCCCCCCACTCTGGAGCAATAGTGGGTATGTCTTGAATGTCGTTTAATTTTCGTCTGGCTTTATCTGAAAGACTGCTATAATGTTCTTGAAGCCCTTTTTCAGCTGCATCGCGTCTTTTCTTGGCCGCGGTGACGGAGAGAGTTTTCATGAAAGGTATCGCGCCGCCGTTAGCCGTGTACCGAACCGAGGACACGCGAGCCTTGGGTCGAACCACAGCCTTTTTCTTTGCTCCTGCGATGCTGATGACCATGCTGAGGATTGTTTCTTTGACCGCGATTTTGTTGAGGAAGAACGTGTTCGTAAACACGTGATGATCGCGTCAACGTGATTCATACCAACTTCGATTCTGCCTCCGCCCTTCATCTCCTCCGCCTTTCATCTCCTCCCTCCGCTCGCTGGTCGCGATGACCTCTCCAGGTGAGATTTCGTCTCATCCAATGCCCTGGCATCCAACGTCGAAATGCTTGCTACGGTGGTACTCGTGCCCGGGAACATAGTAGCAAGCATGGACGCGTCGGAGTTGCCACTCACCTTTTATTTTCCATCCCTTTTTTCGACTCTCCAATCTGATCCTTCTTCATTCAGCGAGACTCGATGTTCTAGACGTGTTGGAGTGCAACTTCTATTTTCACAACGTTCGTTTTTGTCTCCACCCATTAACTTCCTCTACTGACCTGCCCAAGACGTGCTCAGGCCGCGCGTTTTCACCCTGGGAGGCTGAACCCATCAGCAGCCCCGCGTTCGACATCGCAACTGCGGTTCTCCAGGCTGTCGACTCCGCCTCTGATGAGGATCTTGCGGAGGCAGACGCCGCCGAAGACGAATGGCCCCCCGACGGAGAGGACCGACGCGTACCTGCCACCGTACCGCTGGATTCGTCGGCGTCTCCCACCTCCCCAGTTCCACCATCGGCTCGCCGCGCTCGTGACAAAGCTGGATCGAAGGCTCGGCGCAAGGCTGCCCGTCAAGCTGAGGCCGTGAAACGACATGTCAACCTCCAACCGCCCTCTCACCGCCCTCAGCATATAAAAAATGCGGGCCCCACCGTGAAGACACGATTCGACCTGCGGAAGGAACGTGTTGCCGCTACCGGATGGATCGGACTCCGCGACGAAGGCCAGTCCAAGCAGGAGGAAGCAGCGGGATTTGAAGAACCTGGCTGGACTCCCACCCACACACTCAAGGACTTCTTCGGCGCGCAGGCCAAATGGGGCGGTTTCCGACTGGTGAAATATTTAAGCCCGTGCGCATTCATTCCCTCCTCTATTGCTGCCTTGACCGTCCTTGTTCTCAGGAAAGCTCGTCCCATCGTCGATGCCGCTGGACGGGTTTTTGCACTCTCGGGCGGACACGCCGACGACCCCGAGTGGATGTCTGAGGTCCATGATCCCGCGGTCGAGGCGATGGAGGCTGCACGTGTGCAGTGCAAGGTCTCCGAAACCCGACGTCACCACCGCCGCGGGTACTTCCCCCCACTCACCGCCGGCGACTCGTATGGCGGCGGCCAGACTCAGCCCGGAGCGCTGGTCAACGGCGTCATAAACACCGCCGTTCTAATTTCTCTTATCAGCAACAGCGCCTTCATTCGACTCGCGGGTTTTGCCACTGGTCAGTCCCCTCCTCCCCCTCCTCCCATTCCAACGATTAGACGCTAACATTATCCAGGTCTCTTTGCGAATTGGTCCCCAAGGCTTTTTGAATACTACGCCACCCGGATGCGTAGGTTTTACAGGCGCTACACCCACCTGCACCGACCCTTCTTGAACA